GGGGGGGGGGGGGGGGGGGGGGGGGGGGGGGGGGGGGTGGTTTCTTGTGTCAACCCACGGTAGGCGTGCTCCCTAGCCGCATGTCTTGTGTGCCGCTACAGTTGCGCGAGAGAACCCTATGCAGTAGAAAAGAAATACGCGGTGAGAGAAAACGCCACCAGAAAATGCAACCCCCGAAAAAGTGTGTGTCGTGATTGGCCTATCCTTTCGAGTACATACAGCCTGCACACGTCATTCCGCTTGTGCAACCGATACGCTTGGATCGCAGCCTAACCGTTTGCCTGTTTTGATTCGGCCATCCCCACCCAACGGCCCGCAGGAACACCTTCCCAGCGTGCTCGCGTCCACGGCTCACATGTTCGGGTTGGACCTGAACGTCAACCTGAGGGACGGTGGCGGCGGCGGCGGCGGCGGCGGCGGCGGCGGAAGCTCGGAAGGCGGAGGAGAATCGGGGAGGAAAAGACGCGTGAGCGGCAATGACGTAAGTTTGTGTTCCTGTGGCTGTTGGTTCTTCCGTCTTTTTTCGTGCTCTGTAGCTTCCGCTCGCCTTTTTTTGTTGTGGTATGCTCCGTCTTCCAACGTCCAGCCAGTTGGCGAAAACCGGGGTGAATCGCCTCGGTTTCATGTTGCTGGTGCTGCCACGGCTGCCTTTCCGTCTCTTTGCATGCTTTGCCGCTTCCGCTTGTCTCGTTTCATGTGTGTGTATTGGGGTACTCCGCCTTTGAACGTCGAACCCGTTTGCTGACAAACCTGCCGCCAACCACCTCGGCTTTTGGGCCGAAAGGGAGGCACCCACAGTAGTACACACCTCCCGCCCTACCCTCAACTTTTTTTGGCGATGCTTTTTTGGTCGATTTCCTCATGTGCCCCAGGAGGGCCGGAAACTGTTTCGAAAGATGGCGACGGCCTTGGTGACGACCCTCCAGAACGAGACCAGGGACGCTTGGGAGCTCGGGGCGGAGGCCGCGAGGATCTGGCCGGCCTACAAGCGGTTCGCAGAAGACGGCTGCTGTGAGATCGTTGTTGTTGTTGTAGAAGTTACGGTGGTTGTTGTTGTTGCTGCTGTTGTTGTATCAGTCATTGTTGGTACAGTCGGTCCGGATGCCGATGTGTGTCCGTCTGCTGATGCTGGGAGAATCCGCCGATGCTGGGAGAATCTGCTGACGCTGGGAGCTTGTTGTTGTTCTTGTTGTCGTTGGTGGTGGTGGTAGACGGGGTGCCCACATGTATGCATGTCTTCGTCTTATTCTTATGCTTGCTCTTCACCCGTCTTTTTTCTCCTTCTTGTGCCCGCGCTTCTTGCTCTGTGTTTGGACACGTTTTCCAGACGACGCTCATCTCGCGGCGGCCTTGAAGCCTCTCCTGACGGAGACCACCAAACGCCTGCATGGTGAGCATGCTTTTTCCCAAAAACACGACTATTAATACCTTTGGTTCTCGACGACACTGACTGAGAAAGGTTCGTGCATTATCCAGTCCCCCAAAGAAGGCAAAGAAGGGGCTACTAATGATCTGTCCCCTGCTTTGACTTTCAATCGGGAGTTAGTTCTCCCGCACAGCACCTTCCCCTTCCGAACTGGCCCGCTCACTACTGTTGGTATTTCCTACATTCAAATCCCATTTTAGCTTCGATAGAGAACCATGACGCTGAAAGCCACACTTCGGTATTGTTGTCCTTCTTCGCGTCGCCGAGAAGGTTGACTCTCCCCCCGGCTACGAACACAAGGGAGCATTCAATCACAGAGAGAGGAATGCTGTCACGCCCTATATGGTGTTTTTTTGCCTCTTCGGACCTTGGAACAAGGGTGTGCTGATGTAGCGAGCGAGCGAGCTGCGCGTGGTCCTCGCCCCGACCAATCATTTCTGTAGCACAGTCAGCTGGACTGCCCACGCAAAGAAAAAGGTTTGAAACACAGAAGGCCAGGCGAGGGGCAAGCACTAACCCCAACCCCAGCTTAGCCGATTCTATTATCTATCCAGTATCTTTGCTTGCGTAGGGAAAAAATCTGCGCAGACCGCTGAGCCAGCTCCATAGAAATACCCCGGAGTGCATGGTGCCGGCCCTGAAAGCATTGCCTATTTTCAACGAAGCCCAAAGCTTTTCGCAAGCTGTACACAAATGGGTCCTGTCATTTGCGCAGTTTTTCTGCCATCGTACATGTACGCATATTTGTATTCCCCAACGCTCCCCAACAGAGCCTCGATTTCTCGTGAAGATGGTTCGTGCGGTCGATCCGGCACACTGCTTCTTCGTTCATTTTACGTTCTCAGCGGAACACCCGCAATGCAAAACAACGAGGACAGGTTTCGGCCGCCAGGACGACGACAAGGAGCAGAACCAGAACAACAACGGCAAGGACAGGAGGGGGAGGAATGCCGATGCGAAGAAGGAGGGCAGAGTCAAGCCGAACGGCCTGGGACTCTCCCGGAGCGGGAAGCATCTCTTGGTCTCGGCTTATCTGGCCAGCCACAACTCCAGAGACACAGGTGACGGCAAGGGACCAACCACAAAGGCTTGGGGCTTGTGTTCGGTATTGGCAATGGCAAGGGCTCGATGTAGGATTTTTGGGAGTGTGCGTGTGCAAACGTTTTCGAGTTGGAATGCGGTCAAGCGTTGCGCGTTGGGGTGCGGTCAGGGATGTCTTGTTGGGGGATTTTTAGTAGGGTAAACGTGCAAGAGTTTCGAACCGGAAGTGTGCTAAGGGCCATGGCGATGAATGGGGCTGGGCACATAGCCCCGCCTCGATTGGCCACATATCCGGAGATTCCGTCATACTCTTTCGTGGAATTGCCGGTTGTACGCTATGTATTGGCTGCGTGTTGACAGGCATGCCATGGTCGGGGCGCTACGGTGCCGGGGGGTGCGCGGATTGGAGGACGTTTTGGCACCCCAAACCCCGTGCGACTGGAGCTCCTCACGCCCGCGCGTCCGAGTTCGGCAAATATACATGTGCCTCTTTTTTCTTTGGCATGGTTGCCTCGCTTTTTTAGTTGTTCGCGTCGGCGTGTCCCTCCCCCACCCACCTCTACCTCTCTCTCCTTGCCTGGCATTGTGTTCCTTGTTTGTGGCGTCCTGCAGATCGCGACATGTTCACCGCGAGGAGCACGAAGAGATCGAAGCGACAAAGGTCGACGAGATCGAGCGCCGGAAACGCGGAAAATCTGGTGGAGGCCGGGGTGAGGATTGACCTACGGCGTAATCACCAGGGCCGGGTGGGGGTGGGGGGTGGGGTAATCCGCCTCACGAAGTCGGGGCTGTAAGTTTTCGACCGGAGGCTTGGGGTCTTGCCGAGATAGGCATGGCGGGAATTCGTGTGTGCACTTGTCCCTTGGTGGTTCGTGATCCTGCTCCGGAATGGCGTCCAAGTCTTTGCGCCAAGGGACAGTGCTCGCCCCGTCTTGCTTGATCGGAGCGGTTTTTTATGTGCGGGACAACAACCACCTTTGCTATCGAATGCAGCCCATTTTCAACGAAGCGGACATGCCTCGTCGTTGTTTGCTCTTGTTCTGCGTTTTCGCTCGCCGATCGCCTAACACTTAAGACATACCATAGATTGTGGCCGCCGGTGGCGTTGGTGGTCAACAACGGCGCAGTCTACCGCCGCGTCGCCGTACCTCTATCTTGCCTTCTTCGCTGTTTCCGTCTGTCTGTCTGTCTGTTCTGTTCTGTCTGTCTGTCTGTCTGTCTGTTCTGTTCTGTCTGTCTGTCTGTCTGTCTGTCTGTCTGTCTGTCTGTCTGTCTGCCTGTCTGCCTGTCTGCCTGTCTGTCTGTCTGCTTGTCGCTCTCTCTCTTCCCGTTCCCTCCTCTGTCGTCATGTCTGCCTCACTATCATTTCTATTGCCATGTTCTTTCTCCCTGCCGTGATGACATCACACTCTACGAAACTTTCTCCTGGCCCACCACGACGTGCCCCCCCCCCCC